TCTAACGTTAAGGAAATTTCAAAATGAATTCCAAATATTTGTCTTTTGAACTGTCGAAAATCTGAAAGCTTTGTGTCAAATACAGTGAATTTATAGTTTTCTGAGCTTTAGTAACAATCACTGTTTCTTTTCTTTGGATATTGTTCTGGATACTTCCCACTGTTTGAACAGGATCCTTCGATCCTTTTCTCGGACTGGGACCTGTTCATATACGTTTTTGGCAGATGATCCAGAAGTGGTTTGCCGTTGCCTTCTTCTGTGTGTGAATGGAGTAATTGTTGGGATGGCACGGAGGAAAACTCCGTGTTGCCTAGACCACGGCCTTGCCCAACACAAGTTATAAATTCGGGCACCGCCGGGAATCGAACCCGAGACCCCTCAGGATTACAAGGCCAGCGTTCTAACCGCTAGACCACCGTGGCTATATAAGACTATTGCAACGCACGTAATGAACTACACGGCAGCTAGAGGCGCAGTGTTACCAACACCACAACACTTTAACGAAGTCTTTCTGTTATCGTACCGTAACTTCATCGCTCACTCAGTGGATTAAGGCTGACGTAAAGTACACACTTATAATAACTGCTCTGTTTGTACTTATCATTTGGATCGGTCGCATATGTAACAACTCGTATTTAGTTTCTGTTAGTTTATTTGCGATCTATTAATAGTCTAAACTATGCGAAGACCAGCTGGCAGGCAGCTGCAGACCGAAGAGTGCACGGAAGTGTATTTGTTGCGCGTAGTACTTTTCCGGCGACCAAGACAGCGAGTGAGGTGCCACGGAGGAAAACTCCGTGTTGCCTAGGCCACGGCCTTGCCCAACACAAGTTATAAATTCGGGCACCGCCGGGAATCGAACCCGAGACCCCCAGGATTACAAGGCCAGAGTTCTAACCGCTAGACCACCGTGGCTATATAAGACTATTGCAACGCACGTAATGAACTACACGGCAGCTAGAGGCGCAGTGTTACCAACACCACAACACTTTAACGAAGTCTTTCTGTTATCGTACCGTAACTTCATCGCTCACTCAGTGGATTAAGGCTGACGTAAAGTACACACTTATAATAACTGCTCTGTTTGTACTTATCATTTGGATCGGTCGCACATGTAACAACTCGTATTTAGTTTCTGTTAGTTTATTTGCGATCTATTAATAAACTAAACTATGCGAAGACCAGCTGGCAGGCAGCTGCAGACCGAAGAGTGCACGGAAGTGTATTTGTTCCGCGTAGTACTTTTCCGGCGATCAAGACAGCGAGTGAGTCACGATATAATCTTGCAAATAAAGCCATGCCCGAGTTAATAGAGACCGGCGATTACAAAAGCAGAATCACAACGCTAGACTACGAGAGACAAGTAGAGTACCCTGAACCACGCTGGAAATACGTTTTACAAAATAAGCCTTCAGTGTCCACGCGGCGACAGGACTTTCCTCTTTCATGGAACGATTTGAATCCACATACTTTATCGAAGTTCTTACGAAAGTGAATTCAAAAGTCGATACGTTATTTGTTTAGATTAATGTTATCGAAATCGACAAATCTTAAGCAAACATTCTGTCATAAAAGATATAACGTGTAGTTTTGTGTTCCATACAGGTTAACTTGTGTTTCGCGTGTTTCTCTATTATGTAAATACTTCGCGAGCTAAAGATGTTGGCCTTAGAACGAATTATAATTTATAAAATGATCACACAAATCAGAGTTGCCTGATAGACGTATGAGGATCCATTAAAATTTGTTTAAAATTAATGGGTGGGTTTCAACACAGCCAGTTAATTCTTCAGCAGTTTTGCGTTTGGCGTTGCTGATTAGGTCCCGTATTGCGGCAAAATACTCGAGTCTGTTGTTTCTGGCTTCTTACATTTACAAGGCATCCCCTGGAAATGGTGGCCTTCCGGCTTTGAGTGTGGGGAAAGAGAGAGACAGAGAGATGTTAAGACTTGGTCCCTTTTTACAGCAAAATGTGGTCGACTTCCGAACGGACTAGAAGCTTTTCAAAGATCTTAACAAGGAGAAAGATACTCTACACGATGTAGGATTTGAGGTTTTGCACGGCGGTGAGTCCGAAGATATCTGTCTTCTGGGCTGTGGAATTATGTAGTATGGTAGACGTTTACTATCATTTCAAGGGCTTTGTCGCCTCCATCATCGGGGCTTCAACCCAGAGTTTAGCAATATTCAAAATTACTGATGATTACCAGAGTGAATAAACCTGAAAATACGATGTCAGAGGATATCAGTTGTTCATGGACAACTATATGGTCTGTGTTTGTGCTAGTAAAGAAATATTATAAGCAGAATTATCATCAGGACGAATATGGGAATACGTGATAGTGCAGTGTGGACGTACATGAGTTATATAAGGACTTTGAGTTAGGTGAGATGCGTTATATAACATTACTGATAAAGACGACTGTCTTCTGGGATGTTGAACCGCGTAATCTGTGAGAAATTCACCAGACAATATGACGCTGCAACCTAGAAGACAGTCAACTTCATACTCGCCTCCGCGGGGACCTTTGATCTCACCAACATTACTGCTGATTATCAGTAAGGAGAAAAGTTTACACAAAGTGACAGTTCATCAGTTTGTAAGACTTCACGACAGCCTATGATAGATCCAGTATAAAATTATTGAAGTTTATTAGTGTGGAGTTAATTGGGAGTTCAATGCAGTGTAACAGCCATTTGTGGATTTGGAGAGAGCAGGCGAGAAGTAGGGACTATTATACAACATTCTCGTTAAATTTGATATTCATGTTCATGAGAACAGATGCTCTAATTAAATCGTAAATAGAATTAATTAAAATTAATTTAAAATGAAATTAACTGAGATTTGTTTAAACGATACTCCTTAGCATAATTTTGTATGGATGAACATCTGTGTGATGAATTTCCCACTCAAAATATGAAACAAGGAGACGCTTTGTCACCATTGCTTTTTATATCTTTTTTTAGAATGCTAGTTCGCTATTCGGTAACTCCGATAATACAAAGGGGGGGATTGGAACAAATGTTTGGGGGACTCGTAATTAGGCCTGGTATTGGAACAGACGCCATTAAGGAAGTTTCTCTGGAAGACAACTTAGAGAAATCTTGCTTCACGTGTAATTTTAAAACTGAAATAGTTTTATGACCTTAAATTCAAGATTGTTGAGTACAGATTTGTTTTGATTTCGTCTATAAACGAACGCTTGGCCATGTGTAAGGAGAATGTTCAGTGAAGACTGTCTAAGATAAAGGAGGAGTTGAACACAAGAATTTTCTTACAAGTTAACTATTCGCAAAACCCAGAAATTGCACTTTAAAGAGCATAAACACACGAGAATTTTTCCGAAATTAGAAGGCAACAGTTTGACGAAGATGACAGGAGAACGGAAACCGAGTTCAGACCACGTATTTTATTACGTTCTAACGATTATATACCAAGAATGTGTGGTAACAAAAGAGTACGTTCTCATAGCAACACAGGCGATGCCATTTCTTGGTTATCTGTCATGTGCTCACAGTTAAGAAGCTTGATAAGTTTTTTCATATCCACTAACTAACTAGATGGCTTATGGAACCCGAAGGTTCATCACCGAATTAACCAAAGCCCTCCACCGGACCCTGTCCTGGGCCAACAAAATCCAGTCTCCTTCAACTCCTATCTCCCATAGATCCCACCTGACATTATCCTCCCATCTACGTCTAGGTCTCCCCAGAGGTCTCTTCCCTTCAGGTTTCCCAACCAATACCTAGTGCACACCTCTTACCCTATTCATGCGTGCTACATGCCCAGCCCATCTCATTCTTCTCGACTTAATCACGCTGACATTACTGGGGGAGGATTTCTCAGATCTATATGCTTATTAATTTTATTTGGAATCAGGATAAATTGCTAGTGCTGTGGAAACAGTCTGTTATATTTCCTGTTTTTCAGAAGATGCCAAACTGACTACATTAATTATCGAGAAATGTTAACGGTATCAACTACATGCAAAATAGTTTCCAACAGTAATCTCTCAAGGTTAAATCTATTCGCCGGATTTACGTATAAGACAAATGAAGTACAACTTATGACTCCACGTCATAAGCTGCCTCAAGAATTATTATTTATTTAACTTAGAGTCCTCGAGTGCTTCTTTGTTAATGTAAAATAAACACCGGCAATACGCTACATGAATTGAAATTGGCGTCTTTACGTGCGACTTCAGGTATTAATCTTGTCTCTTAATTGATATAACAATACCAACTGACAGGAATGTAATTAAGAAGGAAGCTGAGAAGATCTTGAAATACAGAGAATGTGGAATGTGAAAGTAAAAGTAATCTCAACTGGACTGTCTCCAAGTCACTCAGAAAATATTTGGCCAACATTCCGGGCGAACACAACATCAGGGAACTTCAGATAGACCGCCATTTTATGATATTCATACATCATTCGAAAGACGCTGTCGTAAAATTTGTAACACGTATTAAAAACAAAATGTATTTCAGAAATAGCTGCTGCACTATATACCTCAGGGGCAAGGCATGTCTCAGTTCGAAGTAAATACCCTGTAAAATGGAATATTAATTCAATTCAATTCATGACAATAGCCAAATAATAATAACAACAATAATGCACTGTGAAGAAATAGTCCGTGGCCCCTAACTAAGCAAATTTGTAACACGTATTAAAAACAAAATGTATTTCAGAAATAGCTGCTGCACTATACTACGGGGGGGGGATGAGTGGTTAACTTCACGCCCCGGTCACTGTTCCACCGAGGCCGGAACTCTGTACCTAGTGGATCGTGGTCTGGGTGGACCCCAGGGCCGGTCTGCCCTACCGCATATGGAACAGCTGCTCGTAAAGCAAACACTGACTGACTTGAGTTACGAAACTGTTCATCAGTGGGAGAAAAGTAAAAACACGTTGCAAAAGTGGCAGCACTGCCTTTGTATTAAACATACACAATATCTCTTACGTGTTGCGTGCTTCCTACCAGACAGTTGTGCCTGCACAGAATTGCGTATGGGGGGGAGTGGAGGTAAAGCTACAAGCATTCTAAATCTCGGAATTTCGGTGATCCGGCCACTTTGGACACGAGGCTAGGTTGACCCTTCTTCAGCCGGTGTGGACGCGGCTCCGACCGGGAGTCGAACAGCGAACATGCAGTGTTCAGATTTGCAGAACTAGACTAGAATCTACTTTTAGCCCTTCACACGTGGTTCTCTCGTTTCGTTTGTGCTGGAAATAAGGCAACGAAGAAGTGGATTTCGGGTACGAAAATAAAAGTAGTACATTACAATATACCACATTTCAGCAGTGGGGATGAGTGGAATATCTTTCCAGTAAACTGATGCGCTCCCATTGCCATAATGCCAGCCATCTTGTTTCTGGAAGTTGTATACGGAAAGCCGCTTGTGAGAGGTGTATTGGTCGTGTTAGCTAGTGTAATTCAGCAATATCGTGTAGATTTGAAGAGGATACCAGCACATATTTAACAACTGAACGGTAAGAAACGTACACAAATATGTAGTAATAGTCTGATTATGTAGCATCACGAATTACCATTCAGTGACGACTGGAAAGTCAATACTACCTTTAGACTCTCTGGAGTTGGTATCGCTGTCACTCTTGCAAGCGTACGCATGCATACAAGTCGAAACGTGGTTACGGGAACAGCAGTAACTGATACGTATTTATACTTACCGTTATAGGACGTTGCCATCTGTATACAATTCATATCGTATCATGGCGTTATTGGCTTAGCACTTGTGTGAATATTTGTTTCATAAACATAAGTTTGTTGAGAGCTTAATTAATGACAATGATGCGTAGCGTGGAAGTTGCTAAAAGGGGCGTGTGGCAATAATATTGGGCCAGCATGTACACAAGTATTTAGGGTGCATTCAGAGCTACTTTCTGATTCCAGAAACGTCCAGTGGTTATCAGATTGTGGTCCGCATGTCGCACTGCTCTGATAATGCTTGCATATGCATACGATCTACGTTTTATTATTTCTGGTGCCATGACCTACCTGAGAAATAACTGCACGTTTGTAACAAATATATGCCCAAAATTATGTGATCGTGCACCAGGTTGCCATATTTCATTACGTTAGCAAATTGCTAACCTGAATGACGAAATGCTTATGGTTTATGCACAGTGTTGTAGTCAGGTCTCAGACTCCCCTTGCGTGTACAGGAATGCATTGTTCACAGCGGCTTTTGATCTCGATCAAATTCTGTATGTTGTGGTGTGATTTTTATTACTTATGTTCTTATGAACTTCCATATCTAGTTACGCCCGTGGTCATGCCTCACAAGTCTAAATTCAACTCACAAACAAACGCAAGAAGCATAGTGAGAGATTTATAAAAATTGACGTGTAATGTTTTAAACGAGAGAACAATGTCGTCCGTCAAGTTCTAATAATTACTGCTCCGTGTTGTTTGTGTTATGATATTTATTCTATGACACATGTTGGCTTCGTGATAAGCTGAGTAGCCATTTTAACACAAATGCCGTTTGTTGTGTGTTCTTTTTTAACAGAAACATTGGTCATGATACCACTGGAATTGACTTTTTTCTAATTAATATCTGTAGTTTAATCTCGCAAAGTAAAATTTGGTCTGTAACTGAACAATGGACATAGATTGAGGGTGTATATAAACAGGTGGATGGAGATATTTAGAAGGCGACAGTATAAACTTCATGTATTGATTGTTTGCAAAATGTATCAATGTGAGTAGCCAAGTAAATATTAACGCTACATTCTTACTAACTTCATGGAGCTGGGTACTTCCTGAGAAGCTAACAGTCGCTCAGCCACTCAAGAAATTCCCAACATTTTATGGAACCCGAGGGTTCATCACCGTGCTCACAAGAGCCCGCCACTGTTCCCTATCTTGAGCTAGGTGAATCCAGGCCATACAAACCCATCCAATTCGTCTTAATATTATCCTATCTACGTCTAGGTCTTCCTAATGGACTCTTT